ACACTGGATCTCCGGAAGAACCAAATCGGAGCTGAAGGAGCACAACATCTCGATGATGCACTACGAAATAACAGGGTGGTATTTTAAGGATGTGTATTGCTATGAATCAATCAGGAACATATTAGTCTATCTTGTGGGGAATGGACAAGTTTTATTTAGTAGTGTGTACTTTTGCTTCTTATTAATCGAGTTGTATGCAGAATAGTGATATTTTATTTTAAAATGTGGTCGTAAAATAATTGATTAAATGTAGTTTTCAGTTCGCCGACGCGTTTTATCTTATTTGTTTGAATTTAATCTTCCATGAAGACTATGCATTTAAGAACTGCGGAGTCGAGTTTTTTTTATTCCGGCTCCGATTGCTACTCCGACTCCGAGAAAAAATTTTAGGTAATTCCGATTCAGATTCTGAAAAACTCCGAAAACGTTTTTGTAGCGTTGAGACAAATAGAAAGACTAAGCATTGTGAATGAACAAAACCATAAGCAAATAAAAAAAAGGGTATCTGATATTGTTAAGTTATAGAAGTTGTAGAACTTCTTTCTTTCTTTTTATTTTTTTTAAAAACACAAATATTATGACAAAAAACTTCTTTTTGAGAACGAAATAAGCAATTTAATTAGTCTTCTAATCGGAGTCCAATATTAACTCCGAAAAATAATTTTTCTCGATTCCGATTCCAGCACCGACTCCAACGGAGTCGGAATCGGGTTTCGGAGGGCAGTGCAGTTCTCTAGTCCAGACGCATTTGATTATTTTTCCAAATAGAACAAGGCTTGCGTCTCGAACGCATTCAAATACGAGACGCATTTTCTCTACGTTTTATAATTGCATAAATCTAATTAATCTTTTTCTTGAAAGATTGTAATCAATGGATGATGATAAAATGATTAATTATATGAGTGAGTTTTATTGATAAAAAGATATTAACATATTAAAACATCTTTTTAAGTCAAGAACTCAATTTATCATGTCAGATTTATTCAATTCAAATCGACAGTGATACTAATAATGGCATATAGCTGATTTGTTTTTCTTCTGTAAATATTTTTATCACATAAGATTAAGTTTATTCTTTTTCTAAATAACCTTTAACTATAATGCAAAATTTTAAAAATTTTTTTCTTTTTCAGTAACTTCATTTGTTACTTTTCTTGTGAAACAGATTCTATCTTTATATTTTTCTTAGTACAGTACAAAAGGCGAACTTTTTTTGTCATGTAATGACTTCAAGTTTAATGGATGTTTGTAGATTATTGTTTTTTTATTATTTTTCTACTAAAGAGAAGAAAAGAAGAGAAGAGCTTCGTTTTTGTTTTCATAGTAAATAAAATGATCTCGCTTTACTTTCTGATAATAGCACTGCTTATTACCCATTCTATCATTCATTATCACTTTTGATCTAATTGTTGTCTATTCATATCATCATTTTTTCTTTTAGTTTTATTCATCTCTCGCAATTCTGAATTTCCATATCATGTAGTAGATGTGTACTCTTTAAGATAAGAGGTAATCAGTTAGTAGATGTTATTATTTCATTACATGTTAAGATAAGAGCTTCATTGAACTTAACTACTAATACCACATAGTATTTGTTTTTTTTGTTATGTTTATTGCGATAGCTATCAATAACACCATTGCTGTTTTATATTTATATTCTTTCAGCTAGTTGTTCTCTAAGTTATCTCTAGTTTACTTGACATTACAGAAGAAGTTAGACAATCTATTCGAAACGAGATTCAATGTTATCTAAGGAATAAAGGTTTAAGATATCTGCAAGATAACATTCTCAGATTGTGAAAATCTTGGGTTAATCACGATTCTTCTGCTTCGTTTCTTTTTTCTTCCGATTGAACGAACATTCTTTTTGGTTCTTGAAGAACCATTGAATTTTAGGTGAAATCATACTTCCCTCTATTTATAAGTATACCCAGGTTTTTACTATCAAACATATTGAGTGTTTTCGTTTAGTCTACAAGTTTGAATATTTATTAAAGTTGGTGTCTTTAAATTAATTATTAGCTAGAGAGAGAATCAATACAAAAAAAAATGCAGTATCATCTAATCAAGTATATTTCAGTGTAGTAAAATTCAACTTTTAAAGTAAAACTTCATATTTTGTGGATAGATAATATAATTATTAAAAAAATGAGTTGACTATTCGAACCAGCAATTTGTACCAGTTGTATCGCTGTTGATTACACCATTAACAATCTAGAAGCATACAAAATCTTCTGGATTTTTGATGATGCATTGAATTACTGTCGTCATGGAGTTAACATTAAACGTGTGTTTCAAAACTCAATGTCTACGAAATGAGTAATTATGATATATTTAGCATACTGAATAGTATTCATTAAACTCTTTTCCTTCTTTTATCACCATATAGCTAATTATAATGAAAGACATACATTTATGAATAGGATAAAACTTCAAAATGAACTTTGGATATGATTTTATAATAGAAATTGATTATTATCTATAGTTGTCTCCGCTACTAATGAATCTTGAAAAGAGATTTTTTGCTTAAAAATAATATTCTAACAGAGTCAAAAGAACTGCGTCATATACTTTTTTTTTTACAATCTTACATTAATTTCTAGTGGTATTTTGTCTATTTCATATAATCAGTTATCTGTTTTTCTGGCTCTTATTTAACTTTCTTTCTCATATAAAAGTGTGAAGAATATGGCAGTGACGATTCTACCACTTATTCAGCGAGATATGACACGATATGGCATGAGTACGTATCTTGCAGCAGGTATTCTAGGTAATATTTTTAACTGCATAATGTTTACCCGGCATTCATACCGTCGTACGCCTAGTTCTATTTATCTTCTTTTTCTATCGATTTGTGGTTTTATTTATTTACCATGGTCAACTGTTCCAATCATTTATGCACTTGACCACATTGATCCTCAGACACAGTCGATAGTCATTTGCAAAACACGACTTTACATTACTCATACGCTCGGACTATTTATTCGTTATTGTCTCGTATTTGCTAGTGCTGATCGATTTTTTGTTACACGACCCAATGTTCGTATTCGATCATTAAGTTCGGTGCCATTAGCAATAAAACTTATTGTGATTATGTGCATAATATGCTCACTAATAGCCATACATCTACCTATTTTAATGAATATAAGAGATGGTGTCTGCGGTATGTTTGGTATATACACGTTCATTTATGCAATTTATCAAACCTTTGTAATTGGCATTATACCACCAGTTTTAATGAGCACCTTTAGTTTTCTTACCATTCGTAGTCTTCAAGAACGACATCACGATGCTCAAGTACGTACAAGACAACGAGATCGATACCTGACACGTATGGTAACTGCTGAAGTTATCGCAAGCATTTTTATATCAATTCCTTATTCAGCAAATCTTATTTACACTGCATTTACATATAATATTGTGAATAAAAGTCCTCAACGAGTTGAAATTGAATCATTCGTTTCTTTCTTCGGTATATTTCTCCTTTATCTCATAAGTGTTGTTCCTTTTTATTTGTATATCTCAACATCGAAAACATTTCGAAAGGAATTCATCAATTTATTCGTTAATTTTTGGTATAAGTACATCATACGAAGAGTGCAAATTGTTCCACATAATGACCTGATTACTATAGCACCAAATAATGGACAAACGATTCGTGTCAGACAATAAAAAAATGTATTGAACTAACAAAGATACAATAATCTAATACTATTGTATTACTTGTAAACTATTATATTTTGAACTCTTCTTTTTATATGTTGTGACTTATAAAATAAATCATTTAGCACATAGAGTGAACAAAATATATAGAATCATAGATCTGGCTAAGTAATAACGTATATGAAGTAAATTCTACCTATATCCACGTCCTCATTAATGAAATAAATTTGACTAAATCAATTATTGGTTTAACCTACGTCGGACAGGACTTTACATTTGAAAAAAAAAACAATGCACAATACATTTGTAATATGAAAGTGTTTTTCATCATAGTTGAACATTTATCACTACCATGACGATGGCGGAAGTAATAATATAATGAATAATTAGATAGATTGCCATAAAAGAATTTATCTTCAAAATCATCAAAGAAAAACCATGATTATTTACGAATAGGTAAATGAACGAAAAGAAGTATGTCTTTATCGTCTACAATCCATTAAATTTTACAACAACTGTCTTATTAATTATTTTCCAAAAGTAATATCTCTCGAATATTATATAATTTAGTTCTTTTTTTCATTTGTTTATCAACTATCATACACTGAATATTAGTAATGTTTCAAATAATATTAACTTCTCATCTAAAAAATCCTATTAGCATGATAAATCTGTAAATATTTTAATTTTGAAATATGCGACTAAAGCAAATATGTTTCTGTGTAATCTTCATCATTTGGAAAAGTGACATAATGCATTTCAATGTAACTATTTTTAGTATATTTTTCTTAAGTTGTGGCAATACACGAAATAACAAAACCGAAGAAAATTCTCGCTATTATCATTGAAGACGAACACCTTTCTTCTATACATTTTCGATAATTCATTTCTGAAGAAATGTTTTCAAATGTAAAAGAAAACAAGATTTTCCTTTTTTTTAAATTATTTGTATTGATCATTAATTTGTAATATGATCAGTAGATTCCAAATGATACTGTTGGTCTTTACATAGGAAAAATATTTATAATATGTTCGAATAAAATGTATAATTCCAGAAATATATTCGGTCATCTTAACGAATTTATGAAACTTATAAACAGAAATATTTAAGTATTGTATGAAGAGAATTATTGCAATATATATAAAACTAGCGACATTTTTGTAAATTCCAAATTTTTGATGTATAATTATTTTACGATACATTTGTGAACTAACAAATATATTTCTTTAGAATGAGAATTATACTATAGATATGAAACTAAATTAAGAAATATTATAGGTATTTTTACTTAGCAACATCAAGTCTATTTCACTTTTGATTGGTGTAGTGTACTGTTACATTATTAAGGTAAAAAAGAAACAAAATAGTATATACAATCGAAGAAAAACTAAACACGCATGGGTGAGTGCACGTGGAAACAGTAAAATATAACGATTATTAAATATAAGTAAGTTAATTATATGAATTGATTTGAAACAATGTCATCCGGAAGAAGAAGTAGCATGACTAATTTCTACCAAAATATCGATTCGTTGATATATTTTATAATTTTTAACATTTTTTTATTTATTTTAATTAATGATCACAGACAACGAAGTAATATAGATACAACAAAATAAACATTTTTCGCATTGCCTATCGCGACACTGAAAAACCAAAATGAAAGTCATCTATGATATCCTGAGCTATGAGTAGACATGCGATCGTTGACTAAGAATATTTCTACTATTTTACAAGTTTATTGCTTTTCTAAAGTTATAGTAAAGTAACATGAGTAAAAAGATGATTAAGTATGAAATATATTCAATAGAAACGAATTTTATTTGTTTCAAGATTTCTCATTTTTCAAATGGCAATTAGAAAAACAATAGTTCGTACTGAATCACTTTCAACAGATCGTGTACATGGTTATTTTGATGATGATATAGTCACATGTCCAATCTGTACAAATATTCTTTCGAAACCTGTAACTTGCAAAACATGTGAAAATTCATTCTGTTTAAAATGTATTCGTTTATGGCTTAATGAAAAACCAAATTCATGTCCATTCAATTGTCATTTTCAAGAACGGAAACCTCCACCAATTCTTATTAAATTATTGTCAAAATTGAAATTAAATTGTCAATATAACTTAAATGGTTGCACAATTTTAATACCTTATGAAGCATTAGAAAAGCATGAATTACATGAATGTTTATTTCGATTAACACAATGTTCTAATTGTTCAAAAGAGATGCTATATAATGAACTTGAAGATCATCAAAATAATGATTGTTTACCAAAACAATTAACATGTTTAATATGTGATACCATGTATTATCAGAAAGAAGGACATGAATACATAGATTGTTTACAAAAGCAAGTGCAGATTATGGATGCAGCAACGAGATCACCTGGCAAAAAACCACTAAGCCAACATCCATTTGCTAAAAGACTTCGTCTGTTACATGCAAGAGAACAGACAAATGAAAATTATGCACAAAGAATACAATCACAAAATGATACTCAAGATTGTAAGTATATTTTAACTATAGTATAGCCTCCTAAAATGTAAACAGTACAGAATAGTATCGAGTTTTCATAATAAACTTTAGAATTATGAGCTTATTTCGATAAAGTCTTTCTAATTAAGTTACACCATCGGCTCCAATATACCAGCCTCCTTCACCGCAACCTTCTCATTCAGAATCAATGGCAGCAGCAGCAGCAAGTGTAAGACCATCAAATGGTAAATGATTTTGTTTAAAAATTGAATTTTCTGATGAAATCTATTTTATTTTTACATTTAAGAAACATTACGAATTTCTACTATAAACTTTTCTAAGATTCCTAACGCAAAAAAAGAAGGTGACCATATACCAAATGGTTATGCTGCTTTTAATTGGGAAAATATTTATTATATGTTTGAAGAACATGTACGTAATAAAAGTCAATTACAAGGATTTATCAATGCATATACGAATTCAAGAACATGTGTTGCTTATAATGGGAGAGGAAATGCAATGTCAATATTTTTACCTAATACACGACATACATTTGGTCTTCATTCATTCGAAGCGATGTCAGTTTATCATGACAATTTTAAATTAACAATAACAAGTTATCGTTCTAATGATGTATTTAGTGTTAAAAATATTATTTTGACGAAAAAACCAACTCTCTTTGAAATAAATTGGGAACAAATTGATAAAATAACATTTACACCTGCAAAAATTTATGAAACGAATAGACCAGAGACATTTGTATTGACATGTTTAAATTTAGTTTTATAGATAATTATATTATGAAAGACATTTTCTACAAGTCATGATGCAATCGGTGAAGATTCAGTTCATGTTACTCTTGTTAATTGCAACATGATCTGAAGCATTTAATATTGTTTCTTTTTAATAATTAGTTAACATATTTTTTATTATAATTGATTTATTCTATTAATACATCAATTCTATTCTTTATTTTCGTTATGCTAATAAATAAACGTAACATCAACATGCTAGTTATCTCATTCTAACTTTCAAATATTTTTTTGCGTCACCGTTCAATAATAAATATTTTCAAGAAAGTACAAACAATTCACAAATGATAAAATATACTTTGTATGAGAGGTGAGTGACGATGTGAGATGAGAATCATACCCACGTGCTCAAGCTGTTTCAGTCAAGATCAATAGCAAATTTTTGTATATGATGGTTGTCTACATCGACAGCATAAAGATTACGCTGTCGATCAAATGATAAGTCTTGTGGGTCCGCTTCCAGATTGAATTTCACCAACGACAGGGGTACCTTATATTGCACCTGACGACCAACGCATTATTTGATGACTATTCTCATTCAATACATAAATATTACCCCTATGATCAATAAATATAAGAATATGCGATAATTTTTTAGATAAAAATCTTATTCTAATTATCAAAGATAAACTATTTTTTACAGGGAAATCATATATCAATCAGTATGTTTACTGTACATTATTCTTCGTTAATTGTTTTTCAAACCAATCGGTAGCTTTCGAAATAATTGCAGAAACAACTTCTTTTTGATTTAAATTAGAATTCTTAATTGTATTTGTTTCTTCCTTCTTGATATCAATTACAAGCCATTCTAAAAATGTTTCAATATTTTCGAGCTCAATATCTAATTGTATTTCACGAAGATAATCAAGTGATTGATGCATACGATTTTCTGTACAAGCATATTCGATAAAATCTTGGATGTTAGCAAATATTTCTGTAGAAATCGATGCAATTTGTCTACTTTTGGTTACTGAATGTTCTTGACCTTTGACTTTGAACGAAAGAATACCGAATGATTGTAACCATTCAGTCCAAACAACACCTTCTCCAGTGCCTTTCTGATTAAAATACATTCCAACTGGACATTCTTGCTCGACAGCTTCAGTAATCTTAACAAGTTTCTCTTGAGCTAGTCTTGGATGATTAAAGTCAATTTCTATTTCGTAAGTAGGAAAATCATAAATATTATAGATAGATTGTTCGTGCCATTGAAGCTTTGACCAATGCTTTGGATCGATCCATATTGGAGGTTTTGATTCTCCAATTCTAATCTTGAAGATGACAAACATTTTTCGAAGAGCACAAAGAGCAACATTATTTTGAATATTTTTTCCACACCATTCACCATAAACAACAATACGATTTCCACGATCATAATGTCGATAAAGTACTGGACAATTAAGAAGAATTTTTTCTAAAAGAAATTTTTCTGCTAATGGATACATAAAACGAGCAAAACCAAGATTATCCATCTCCGGTAAAATAATAAGATGACGTGATTGACAATGATATTTAGAATCTTTTTGATAAACAATCGCTGAATTTGTTCCATGTAATTTGATTGTACCAACAAAATTTAGTTTAGGATAGGATTTGCCTTGTTCGATTTTATATCGATATGGATGTTTTCTTATCGAGTCAATCACATCATTAAATTGATTTGTTTCTGGATAGGATATCATTGTTTGAAGAAAGTTGTTTTTTTTTAGCGAATAGACATGCATACTTCTTATTTCATTTTATACTACAATCTTTTGTAATACTATGACACGTGAGTTATGCAATAACATTAGTCATGAAGTCGTTGTGCACGCAAAAAATACTGGAAATTTATTAAATATGAAATATAAGAGTTAAAATGTAATCACACTCGTGAAAAAAGTTAATTCAGTTAAAAATATCAACCATTTTATTTTCAATCAACGTTTTTAAGCACTTTAAAGTAATTAATGGAGTAGGATTATTACAGATTGAAAATGTATGTACAACTTTTTCTTTCGCAAAAGTGACATATATGTAGTTTTACAAAGTTCAATATTTATGATGTTTGCATAGATTAGTTATACTCGTGTATGTAAGTGTCAGATAAAACTGTTACTTTCATCTGCGACCTTCAGATTCTACTATACATTCAACGACAACTCTATTTATCAGTGTGTATTTTTGCTTAATTAAACAATTTTTACAAACAATGTTTTGCCGATCAATGTTCATTCTTATCGCATATTTTTCACCTCCAAAAATTCCATTAACACATAACGTATGTGATTTATTCTTCAGTAAAATAATTACAATAAAATATTTTGTAGGGTGTGAGTGAATAAAAGATGAATCCATACTCACCCTCAACCTTAAAAGATTGTGTCTACAAGTAGAAAGATAAATTAGATTATTAATTATATTTTTAATGAACTTTATCGTTATTAATGAAAAGTATTTTAAAAGTGACAAAAAAGAATTATTTATCAAAAGTTACTTTATCAATCAAAAACTTATTTCAGCCACGATCAATATCGAATTTTTGTATTCGACCGTGAGCCATATCAACAACATAAAGATTACCGTGACGATCAAATGATAAATCATTTGGCATTAGAAACTGCGTGGGCCCCGATACCTCTATTTTCTCACCAGCGACAGGAACACCTGCTGTTGCATCTGGCGACCAACGCATTATTTGAAAATTTCCGAACGTCGACACATAAGCATTACCCATCTGATCAACAATCACACTTATGGGTTGAACTAGTGAATTGGGATTTACGTTAGAAACTTGTCCTGGTGCAACAAGACTGCCTTCGGTTGCATTTTTTTTCCATTTCATCACACGATTGTTCATAGAATCTGCTATGTAAACTGAATGATATTTATCGACGAAGATATACATAGGTTGAGTAAGTTGATCAAAGCGATTTCCAGGTTCATGTCCACCTGCTACAACTGTACCTTCTTTATCTCCTTCTCGCCAACGTATGACTTGATGTTTTCCCTGGTCAGAAATATAAAGATCTCCATTATTATCTATTGCTAAACCCCAACAAGCAATATGAGATATCAATATTTCCGGATCCGGATTATTTTGACGATACCATCGCATTACTCGTTGGTTGATCAGCGCATCACAAATGATGAGATATTTCTTGTGTTTATCAAGAAGTACATCAACTGGCATACTCAATTGATTTGTTTCAGGTCCAGGTCCATTTCCACCTGCAACCATTTCGCCATTGTTTGCTCCTAATTTCCATCTAACAATACGATAGTTGCCAGTGTCAGCAATATAAATACTTTGATCATCATTATCAATATAAATACCCTGAGGACCATTTAATTGATTTATACCACTTCCCGGCATATTTCCTCCAGCAACAGTAGATGCATTCTGTTTCCATTTTGTATTATTATCAATCATAACAGAAGAATCGAATTGTTCTGCAAAACATAAAAAAAAACATTTCAATTTGTTTTCTTTTCTTTCTATCTAAAAATTATCTGTCAAAAGTATAACATATTTTGTTTTATTGAACATGATATTTTGGTGTTATTACATATAAACTTCTAGAATGTCTATGTGAGTATAGATGAATGAACTATGAATTCAATACTATTCAATAGAAATATGATGTCTGACTAATGATTATGGAAAATTAAACTATTTTATGTCATTATTCAAATAAAATATCTAAGATTGAATAAGAAAAACTAATTCTAACAATAATATCTCTTTTATGAAATATTTCAATTAGGAAATCAGCTAGTTTTAACAAAATCATACCATTTGTTGTTGTTAACAATTCACTTGTTATTATTCCTTCCATAGTTGATTCCTCTGTTGTTGTTGTTGTTGATGGTTTTTCCCTCTTTGTTTTTTTCATTGTAGCAGTAATTGTTGAAACAAGTATAATTACAACAATTAAAACAATGAAAAATATTATCCAAATTAATTTTCGCTTTTGAAAATGTTCATATCTAAAATAAGAAATTCTTTTGATGATTTATTGTAATCTATAATATATACATACATCGCTCGTAATCGTGTTGTATTGGAGTTAACTTCAACAGACTAAAATATTTCAGAAGAAAATAAGATTATTTTATTCTTTTTATGTTAATATATTACTTCATCAGGTTCAACTCTGTTATTCATGTTCATAGTTGTTGCTCTATCCAAATTTTAATACTTTTACAATCTAAAATCAAGAAAACATAAGTTATCTCTCATTGAATATTGTTTTTGTATTTATGAGATGTGATATGTTTTATTAATTAATCGATTTACATCAAAATAAAATAATGTTAAAATAGAGTTTTGATTTATTCTTATATGAGATGATGAAAAATCATGTGAAAATGAAATACATTTTTCTGCTTCTTCTTAATTAAAGAAAAATAAATCCTTCGTCACTAGAACTATTAATCATATTTCCTTTTCTCAAAATTAATTTTGAATAAAATATTGTCAGATGTGAGTTGTCCTTTCTATTAGTATGAAAACTCTGTGGAATAATAAATAATATTTATTATGATTATTTGCAAAAGTAAAAAATAGAGAAAGTCAGGGAATGATGTCAAATGCTGCATAATACATATTGAGAATGATTTAAAAGAATAAATTAGTTATTGTTAGAAATATTTTGTATTTAAGCACCTATTATAATTCTTTAGACTATTGTTTGATTTTGTTTTGAGTTAGATGTATGTAAATACCGACAATATGTAAACTTATTTGTTTAACTGGTGTACATAAACAAATTTATCCTTCGTTAGTACTAACAGGGAAAAGAAGCTTTATATTGGAAATAATGATACTATAGACAGAATGAATGCATACAATAGAGTAGATTTCCTAAATACCAGCACTAAAAAAGTAACTTGTCTGGTTTGATTCATTTAACATATATTGTACATTCGACGGAAAATAATTTTATATATGCATAATCTCTAGAGCCTCATCTTTTAAATAGTAGGGGAGGTGCAAAACTTTGGCTCATAGCTTACACTCACTGTTTTCTTTCATAAAATATATATGAATTTCACAAAATATCGTCGAATCTGAAACAGACTATAAATCTAATCAAGCTATTAACCATTGCAATACCAACAGAGATCATGATTGAACCCCCTCTCAACAATCTCAAAAACCAATTGAAACAACTATAGTTTCTTGATTTTTGGAGGTTATTGATGTGTTTCGCGAGTCGAATTATAATAGTATCTGATTGTTGGGACACACTACTCGTCTTCAAAAGGCAGGAAACTGCAGATATTTCAACTATTTTTTCGGATATTTTAGAAGGGGGTTAAAAGTTATAATCTAAAAGCATTCATCTATAAACTTATCAATAGAGCATTACTTATAACATAAATGAAAAGAAAAAAAAAATTCATCAGCGCACGTCATACCTATAAAAATAATTTTATCCATTTATCATTTATATGAATCTGATAAATGAAGCATTTATTACAAAATTCAAGAGAAGACAAAAAAAACATGTTTTTTTATTATTTAGAATCTATCATTGACTTAATAAATCAAAATATTTTTAATTAACGTTAAGAAAAGTAAAATCATAGTTTTCCCCTAGATTCATCAATCATGAAAGGTTAGATTCAATAAAGAATATGCACGTAGGCGTTTAACATATAGAAAAAAAATAAAAGAATGACTTAGATATAATTATAAATCATATTTTGAACTTTTATGCCGTCCAACAAGGACTACATAAGTATGAATATAAAATGTCCTCAAATTAAAAAGATATGTTATCACTTAATGGGACAAAGATACATGTATTGATATGAAAACATTTAATGACCCTAATTCTGAGAATTTTTAGAATCGATATTCATCATCTCAGTACTTCTTCAGTTTTTGAGCGAATTCATATTTTTATATATTCTTTTTTATTAAGCTCTAAGATCCTATTTCATTCGTATTTGAGTATCGTATTTTGTGAGAGATATTTTTAATCCATCTTTCAATATACTTTTAGAAAACTCTTGATTTCGATTGAATTAATATTTTTCTTTTTATCATAAAATGTTTGAAAATGATTGATATTATTTGAGTAAATGTTTTTATGTATTTCTTATTTATCTTAGTATTTTAAAAGTTAGACATTTTTTTAATTTTATTTCTGAATTCTTTGATTTTATAATATGATTTGCTAATCATAATTGTTCATAATGCATTCAAAAGTGAATAATTAATATTTATTTGATTTTTTTTCATTGAATAAATATAAGAATTCTTCATTCTAACTAATGCCTTCATTAAAATAAGTGTATTAATTATTCTTTACTCTCGGCTATAAAAAAACTATATCTTAGTGTGGGTGTTGTTGTTGATATGATTTTAATGTATACCAGATATTCAGACCTACACCCAGGCCCACCATCAAAGAGTTCTTAGTCAGGCCGATTTTCTTCTATATTTATATAAAGTGACTCGAAAACGGAAGCCAAATCTTAAAGAAACAAAAATAAAACTTGATTGATGATTAGTTTAGTGAGCGTGTTGTTGTAATGCCTCTTCAAAAGAAATTTTCTTTCATCGATCATTCATATATTTCTTATCTATACATATAAAAGCACGCCATCAATTGCGCATAAGAATTTCTTGGCATGACAGAAGTACGTCATTGGCACCTGTGTATATATGATTTTATATTGTATTCAATTTCTTTTTGTTTTGTTTTGGATATTTCATTCATAATTCATTCGATCATTTTCAAAATATTTATCTTTTTCTCCTTTTATATTATAATATAACAAAGCTTGTGTTTTTTAACAGAAAATGTTCATCTTTATTAAATCTATATTATTAAAACATAACAGACATTGATCGATGTTTTTTTCTTGATTTTTCTGTTAAATAAAACAAAATTCATGGATGTATCATTGATGATGAGCGATGTTCACAGTAAACAGCTCATTTTTATGTAAAACATCTCCACTACATGAATAATTTTCTGAATACTCTTGCGTGGTTTTATAGATCTTAGATAATTAAAGAGCAAGAAAATGAAGTTTTTTTCCGAAATGAAATCTTTTTATCCAGAAGGAAAAAGTGAATTTTAGGGATTTCGATAGATCCTGAAGAGTTTCAAGGATCCATCTGGAGGGTGTGGGTGTATCTTATTTATTCCACTCACACCCATATCCACATCTCCACACCACACCCTCAAAATCTTTTCGAATTTACAAGTGTAACATCTGGCATACCTGATTACAATATGCTTTTATATTCAATTTTACTCGATGTTTGTTCCATGAAAAAACAAATTTGAAATATTATTGGTATACTAATATACCATCTTGAAAGTATGAGTGTTTGTGATGGTTATTAATTCGGTTTTTTTTCGTTTGCTGTGAATCAGTGCTTATCAGCTAAGTTAAGTCGTTTCTTTTTCATTATAGTGGTTATTATAAGAATAAAACCGAGATTTTATGATTTCTTGCATTTCTTTTCATTCTTTTGCGATTTAATATTTGTATAGATAAGCACGTAAATCTTAAATGCTTTTTTTTATATTCATTTTTATTGTCCCTTTATAACTAGGTGGACAATCACGGAAAAAAAGAATAACACCATATTTTAAATGTTCAGCAGGCTGGGATAAAAGGGAATATCTAGAGTGATCAGGAAGATAGAATATTAACGAAATATAACTTGAACAACAGTGACATCTTTATTTATATAAAGGAGCAAAAGATTAAGACACATAATTTGACAGTACAGCTGTCCATAGAAGAAAAAGAGAGAAAAAACAACTCTCAGTTTTATTTCATATTACATTACATTCATCTCTTTTACATTTAGATTTTCAGAAAATGTAATCTATCATTAGTATTATTATAATTTATTGTCTTTTAGATAGTATGGAGTCGATGTCATTGGAAAGTCATTCCCAACAGGCAAAGGAACATGTTAAAGACATCATCCCTCAATTACTTCAATTGGTAGCTGAAACAGATCCTATACTTCATAGTCCAATAGAAGAAATGTCATTAACAGACATTTCCAGTGATGCAACAAAACAAATTGTAGCAAATATGGTTTATTCAATTCGACCACAACAGTTACAACGTGCAAATGCTCCATATAGCAAAGCAGCAGGCATGGCCGCAAATCAATGGAATATAAATAAGAGAATATTTCTCTTTTGTCCAACTGGTAGTGATGGAGAAATAAAGGTTATATTTAATCCAACTTATAAACCAATTACACTATCTCAAGATTCTATAAACGCATTGGAGGCAGTAACTTCTGATCCAACGACAGACTTTTGCAGAGAAGGTTGCTTTAGTGTTTTATATGCATATGGAATGGTAGAACGATATATGGACATTGATATTAGTTATGTTGATGATAAAGGTATGCAGCATTTGAATGAGAAATTATCGGGTTGGCAAGCTAGAGTATGGCAACATGAAACAGATCATTTAAATGGAATATTATATTCAAACAAACAATCAGGAATTAGCAAAGGACCAAACTGCACCGAATTACATAGATTTCAAAACAAAGACGAATTTGAAAAAAATTATCCGAAATAGTACAATATTAACTGATACTTTGAACGTGAGGATACGAATAACTGTCGATCAGCCTATTCTATTCATTTAGTACATCCACATTTTATTTTCTTGAGGGTGTGGGTGTGAATACAACTCTAGCATAGACAAGCCCATTACGACATGTTTTCGTCAATGACACATTCGTTATAGCACTCACTACGTCAAAGTAATTTCACAACATTGTAGAAAGAAGAACGAACATTTTTCTTACATCACAGAGTCACTTTTTTTAGTAATAAAAAAACAAAAAAAAAGAATATATTTACTTTGGAATTGTGTAGCAAGTAAGTTACGAAGGGCATTTTCGAAACTAAAGATAAAATGTCGTATAAAAGCTCTGACGCAAATGATGCTCAAAACAAGAAAATTCAAGACCTTATAGAAATCTCAAAAAACGAACCTTACTGGAATTTCTACGGTGAGAAACTCATTGATTCTGATATTGAATTAATTGCAAATGAATTAATACAAGGATACAGAAACTGTCAAACACTTGATTTATTTAAAAACAAAATTACCTCGAAAGGTGCTGTGTACTTGAGTGAAATGTTGAAAGTAAACGGAACACTTCGAATTCTCAACCTTTGTTGGAATCAAATTGATGATGATGGTGCAAAAAGTCTGTTCGATGTTTTAAAAGATGAAAATAGAACTCTTGAACGACTTCATCTTGATCTCAATAAGATTACAGACAAAAGCGTGGAGAGTATTATGAAAATGATCAAAAGAAATCGAACATTAACGCTTGTAATTCTTACTGATAATCAAATATCAGAAGACAATCAACGCCAACTAGAAAAAGCAGGTCAACTAAGAGAACCATCTGCTCTGGACGTTCGATTCTGTTAGATTTTTTTTATAGATAAATAACTATTATTGTGGTAAAATATTTTATCTGATTTAATGTACTGATTGTTGATATAAATAAATCAAAAATCACTAAAATAAGATACCGATGTACGCAAATAAGAAGATCGATAACCAAATATACTTGTATATCCAATGTTTTGTATCAAATATCATGTTTAATTTTTCTCATTCGAAATATGTGAGTTCACATCTTTATCGGTAAATAGGGCGGTATAAATAATATTTATATACTACGCATTTCTATATAAATACATTCTTCGTATAATAATCACTAGCAAAATGAAAAATTGAAAGTATTTAGTGCTTTTCTGACGTCATTTTGTCCTTGTTTTTATGAAGATTAATTTCTTTGATGAAACAATTAATTGTTCTAGAAAGTTGTAGGTGAATATCAAATTTCTATTCATTGAAAGATTAAATAGTATTTTTTTTCTATATAAAAAGAAGAGTACGATGATGATTTGATCACATTTAAACGTAAGCTATGGTTTCAATCGCAAATCGTTGTTTTTTATTTCTTATTTTCAGGTAATGTAATAACTCATTCAACAATCTTTCTTTTTTTTCTTACTTGTAATGTTTTTAAATTTAGTTTATCCATATTTAGTGTGCATTGTTACATTTGTGATGGAACAGTGCCATATGACCGATGCTCGTCAAATACAGCCTGTGGTGGTTTTAATATGGTAGGTTCTGCTAATGTTGGTGTATGTGGTTTCCTCTGGATGAGTTGTTCACAATATGATTTATGTGACTCTTCAAGCAATACTTGTAATAAACCTGAACATATATGTGTACAACATCCTCGATGCCACTCAGATCCAGTTTGTTTGCCAGTAACAATGATCGATCAACGAATTTGTCCATCACTGAAAGGTAAGATAAAAAAAAGAATAAAACTTCATGCCAATCATTTTTTTTCTAAATTTTTAAATATGTAAAGAGCTCTTATTTTTACTATGAGTTAGTTTTGAATGTGAAATTTAATTAAACTTATTAACAATTATATTTTATATTAATAAATAGCATTGGATACTGTGCTTCCAAATACAACTACAAGTGTAACCACAACTGAAACTACAACTATAACCACAACCACTGCTGAACCACGAAGTAAGTGTTACATAAATGTATATTGAACTACATTAAAGAAGTCAATTATTTTGTTTGTTGAAGATATATCTTACTGTTTCTAATCTAAAAAAATAATTGCTCTTTTATAATATTATTCTTCTAGTGTTGTAATATCTATTTTTATCGAATTAATTATTTAAATTCTATGATTTCACAGAGAGAAACAAACCGTCATAGACATTGTTTTTTTCTAATTTTCGGTGTGGGTGTACATCCATTGATTGAGAACTATTTTTGCGATAGATAAGAAATATGTAAAATCTACTATAATATAATATCATAATTAATTTTTTAATTATTTCTATATAGATTGGTACAATACTGGTAGCATGAACTTTTCTAGACAAAATCATGTGGCAACTTTATTAAGAGATGGACAAGTTTTGGTTACCGGTGGAAACATAGGTACTCTTGGTACTACAAACAAGGTTGAACTGTATGATCCAGCATCAGAAATGTGGACACTTACAACTAGTATGCAGCAGTCACGAGAAGGACACACTTCATCCTTATTACCAAATAACAAAGTGTTAATTACTGGTGGAAAGAGTACTAGTAGTAGTATTGATTCTAGTAGCGCTGAGTTATATAATCCCCAAACAAAAACTTGGTCATATATTGATAGCATGAAATATACACGACATTATCACACAGCATCCGTATTACCAAATGGAAAAGTATTAGTTACAGGTGGATACAGTAGCGCTAGTATTCAAAATGCTGCAGAGTTATATGATCCATATACAGACATTTGGACAACTACCGGTAGCATGAACGAATCACGACATTATCACACATCAACCGTATTATTAAATGGAAAAGTGTTAGTTACTGGAGGATTGGGTAAGGCTTATTATAAGAGTGCTGAGTTATATGATCCAGAAACAGAAACATGGACAATGACAGGTAGTATGAACCAAGCACGACATTATCACACAGCATCCTTGTTGAAAAATGGAAAAGTATTGGTTACAGGTGGATGGGATGGTACGAGATATCATAACAGTACTGAGCTATATGATCCATCAACAGAAACATGGTCAGTTACTGGTAGTATGCATTATTCGCGAAGTAGACATGCAGCATCCGTATTACCTAATGGACAAGTAGTAGTTACTGGTGGATCTGGCAGTGAGACTCAAAATCGAGTTGAATTTTATGATCCATCAACAGGAATTTGGACAACAACTTATGAAAGAATGAATTATGCACGACATTCTCATACAGCAACCATATTAGAAAACGGAAAATTGTTAGTTGCTGGAGGAACCAGTACTGTCCTTTTGAAAAGTGCTGAATTATATTAATGATTTAAAATAAATAAAAAGTATAAGTGATTTCTATCTTTCATAAGATAAATATCACTCTTGACTGCTATAATTTAATAATTCTATTTCTGTCATATCACTCTAAAAAATACGGTTTCATACAAAACCTCTTCGACTTCTAGATTTGGCTTTCACTTCTGATTCTTTCAAGTTTCTAGCAAAATATGATTCTGTTTCAAACCTTTATTTTAGCAATTAAAACTTCACTAAAATATGTATTTACTAATCTAACATTATTGAGTACTAATTCTTTTTGTTTCATTTTGTAATAGTTTTATTAAAATATAAGTAAAGAAAGTATACAAAATAGTTTATGAATTGTTTTTTTTAGTGTACGTATATTGAATGAGTGTTTTATTCTTCGTATCATTGAGTATAGCATCAACTTGTTCTTCAATACAATCGATCATATTAGGTCGATGAGGTTTCCATCCTAGTTTATCTAATCGTTCGGCTTTTGAATTTGATTGACATCCTAAAACCCAACTAAATGGACCAAATAATGCACTTTCTATTTCATCATCTGGAAAACTTGTAACAGTAGGTGACTGAAGAATACCTCTCTTATAAAGAATTTCACCAATTTTTTCTGATACTTCTTTTCCTGAAACTTGTCCATCTACAGTAAAATAATAACCTTCACGTCCTGTAGTTAAATACGGACTAGATTTTACATCAGATTTTGCATTAGGTCCATAAACAGCAAGAAGTTGATCAAGAAGAAGAATATATGCATCAACTAAATCACCAATATGACTATAACCCCATTTTGATTCACCTGGTCCTATCATTTCTATTTTGCCACGTTTTAAAGCAGCTCGAATTAATGATCCAATTGTTTCAGAATCTCGATGAAATAATCCTGTACCAATACCATAAATAGCAGGTGGAAGAACGATAACACTCTTCAATAAAGGATTAGCTTGTGCTGCATTAATTATTAACAAATCAACATCACGATGCCATTGATCATCAGCTATACTATTAATTTTATTTGGATCAAGATCACTATAAATTGAATTTGATCCTTTTTTACCACGAACATCTTCAGAAATAACAGCAGTACCACTTGTATGAATATAAATAACTGGTTTTCCATTTGCTTGTGTTCGTTTATTTAAACCACTAAGAATAGATTTAACTGATGGAATATCATCAGCAGAATTTGATGTATGAATAACAACATGTGATTCACTTGCTGCTTTCTCAAGAATATCATGTGATTCATTTGTACCAATTAATGGAATAACACCAAGTGATGCAATTTTATTCACTCGACTTTCATCACCACGAATTAGAGCAGTTATTTTGAAATTTGAAACATTTGGATGTTGAAGAAGACCAGTTAAAATGCTACCACCGATATAACCAGTTGCACCAGTTAAGAAAATGTTAATTTGCTTGGAAGACATTTTATATATGCTGAAATGTAAAAAAAATGCTTCTATTTATATAAGAAATATATATATGCATATGTAGTGATGACTAAGCAAAAAAAATCACGAATAAGATGGAAGAACAAACGAAATATATTATCTTAATGACAAGGCATAAATAAAGAGAAAATGCAACGTCACTGTTCTCTTGCTTTTCTTTTCTTTTCTGTACAAACGTGTAATATCCTCTCTTTTCGTTATGCTTCGTCATATATATTGTATACCTAGATGACAATGTATTTTACATTAAAATGTGTTTCAATAATATTTTTATTATCAAAGAACTTTTAATAGATAATTCTCATATGACTGTGATGGGTGTGGGTGAAAGGTCAAAAAAACATTGAAAATCAATTTTTCACGGTTTTCACTTTGTTTTTCCAGTAAATCTGAAGAAAATACATTTCTACGAGAAAGAGCTGAGCGAATCCTCAGACGAGCGTTACTTGTTTTACATAATATTTATCCTTATGTTAATAGAATATGTTATAAACATAATTGTCAAGAACATTTGATATTAAATTATTGAACTACTTTGTATTGTTTTGAATATAAATAATATTTTACTTAAAAAACAAATCTTCAAGGCTTTCTACTCAGTCCATTATGAAGATTTTTTTATTTATTCATTTATTTATTTCAGTTTTAGAAATTCCCCAAATATTAAGACAAAGATAAAGAATGAATAATTTCTTTCTTTTAACATCATCCAATTCGTCTTTTCTTTCGTTTCATTGTATTAATAGAGGATATAGAACAATCGAACGATAAATTCATGTATGTCTCCGTTTCCATCAGATAAATGTTGGAGATCTGTATCCACAAGTAAAATAAAATAAAGAATACATGTACACTTTTATGGAAGACGACTGGCTAGTTATTTATATCACTAATACATTTATATCGTTTCCACACAGATATACTTCATTAACTTTTTTTAAATTAAGAATAATTATGTAGTATTTTGTAAGTTTTAGATTAAAATGCCTCATACCTGTTCGTGTGGAGCTGTTTATGAGCATCGCACGCAAATGTACGTATAAAAATTGTATCATCCATAAGTTTCTATCTCTTCTCATTGCAGGACAGGCTGTCTTAAACTCCATGGGAACTTAAGACAGACTGACGCACAAAATGAAGTTCCACAAATTTCAGTACCAAGACAGTAAGTAGATAAGTCAAATTTGTTTTATTAAATATAATTATATTTTATATGTATTTAGATCAAACACACACCCTCCCACATATATACTGGATAACATTAAGGTAAGTTTTTTGTGTTGTGTACAGTTGATTATTCATTCGTTATTTTTCCTAACGGACGACTAAGATGCTCATTGAAGAGAAAAAAAAATTCGCCAACTATTGACTTTTCTAAATTAAAACAATCAACATTATTGACGTCTATTTTTCCATTTATCTTTCTTCCTTCTTTTCTTTCTTTCTTTCTTTCTTATTCCCCACTCTATATATTACCCTTGAGTATACAGTTGATCCCAAGTCATTATTCGTTAGAAAAAAATACGATGGCAATAATAACAGAAACTCCTAAAGACTTTGTGTTACATTAATTCATACATTTTGATCAAAGTTTTGAACTAATCTTTTTTATTTATATTATAGGTCACAACGATTTTGGCAGCAAGTGCATCGTTTCAATATCATATACAAACCATTACAACTCAATTTCTTATGGGAACATTGCGAAAGGAAGAATGGAAAACAAACATTCAAAAAATCATTGATGATTTCATAGTCACCGTTGATGAAGCAGCAACGTCATAAAAACTTAGACCTCCACCTACACAATAAGAAATAAAATAAAACTATTTTCAAGTAAACTTACGCTTCAATCTTTAAAATAGATTATTTGTTTAAATAAACATTATTCTTTTTTCTTCTATATTAAATATCTTTATTAACATAAAAACGAAATAAATAATTTCAAATTAATGAAAATCAATCATCGTTACTTATGTAATATAATAAAACATGAATACGAACACACTTTTTGAAAGTGTGAAAAAGCAATGAAATACTAATTATATAATTAAAAAAAATGTCTTCTCATATTTTAATAAGATTATTAGTTTTAATAAATTTGTAAACTATTTCTATGTCAGATAAGAACTGTTGTTTATTCTGATATTTATTGAATTCTCATAATAATTATTTATAAAAATTGAATTGAATTAGAAACTTATCAAAAAAATAATTTATATAAATCAACTTAAGATGTTTCTCAATTATAAACAAAATATTTAATTGATTTATTTTTAGAGATTTTATATGCTACAATATATAGTTTATAATATCTAATAATAGATTAGTTATCAGATCGATTAGTCTAATGATTAAGAACATGTTGCATTATACAATCATCGTTTCATGTAATTCTTTTTCTTCACTGGATTTTCAACAAAGATAACTTAAGGATATCTACTTGATAAAAGCCATTCAAATTTAATCATAGTTTTAAAATAGAATTTGTGTTGACAAAGAAAAAAAATAGTTTATAAGCGAAATATCAGTACGAGTTTTTTTATTTTGATTAATTTGGGTATTTTGACTGGTAAGTCTTATTATCACTCATCGAATCGTTGTGATAATGGCTGTTGTCCAGATGAATGAGAATATTTCGAACAATGCTGAGGATTGTGTTGATCGCGACATCTTGATCCATATCGACATGGTGTTTGTTCAGTAGGCGTTGCATGATCATTTCTTGATGCGTTTGAAGACGAACTTATGTTAACCTGTTCACCATGCGAATATTTTATTCGATGATGTTCAGCTGATCGTTGAGCACAATGCGTTTGATCGCGACATGGAAAAAGAAAGTCAGGAAGATCTGTATGTCGATATTCTGCTCGATGATAAGGATCGCCGAGACGTTTACACGATTTATCCAATGGACACTTCTCGACTCGACGTACTTCATGGGTCAAATGAGGTTCATTATCTTTATTTAAACATACTTCCGAGAATCGACAAGGATGAGAATATCTTTTACAATGATCGTTTGATGTTTGTCGAAGACAATTAACTGAATCACGACAGAGACTTAGTTTGCTCCGATCAGAATGAGCTCTTTGAGAGAAAACATTCGATGGCTTGTCATTTCTGGGTATTGGTGGAGAATGAGGACGATTTAATTGATGTGCTCTGGATTGATTCGAAGAACTATTCGTTGGTTGAAAATCTTTTTCAAAATGTGGATGTAAATCGTGTAATGGTTTAAAACAAACCATAAAATTTCGAATAGGTACCTGCTGTGAATTAGCACTAATTTGAACATAAACTAATTCATTCAAATCAAGATCCGATTTAATGAATTTATACGATATTTTTTCATCATTATAAATACTATTCGGTCCAGCATGTGTTAATGTTACTTCATCGGTAGATTTCTTCAATTTTAAACAGTATGTCAAATAATCATCAAGATTACATCCACGATGAAATGTACTTGAAGATGCCAGAAAAGAACGTTTATTCATAATAGTTTCATGTTGCAATGGATCATCAAAATTTAAATATGAAAATGATTCGCAATAATCATTTATTGTTGTTGATGGTGTTTCTGCAATATAGCATAAAAGAGATCGAGAAATGTTACAAGTATCAATCGGTTCATTTGATAATACCAACATCATATCACCATACATCGATTGCCAATAAATAAAAATATCATCAGATACAGAATCATCTGCTAATGTAAATGGAAGAATAGTATATTTCTTCAAATGGCTTGGTGGTAAAGTAATAATACTACCACATAATGACACTTCTTGTTCAATATTTTTAATAAGTTTCTTCATCAAATCATCTTTCACATAGTCCTGGTATTGATTTACATTGCGCGGTGTAATATGTAATGAATCGCCAAATATAGTTTTCGCTGACAGTTGAGCTGCTGATGAAAGAGAAGTATAAAGTGTATGTGGTATGTAAATTTCTTCGATGTAATCAAGATGAATTAATTCAGGCAAATGACATTCGAATAATTGATTCGAAGAAGTACACTTCATATACGTTAGAATTGTATTTAAGTCCATATCCATTGTTTTTTTTGTCTTACCAGTTATAGCTAATAGTTCGGATGCTAAAGCATAATCATATCCTTGAATGGAACAATGTAATAACGATTTATGAAATTGTTCAAGCCGTTTTTTCGATGTTCCTGAATCTTTAATCCATGGTCGCTCAATAAAAGTCGTTCCATCTAAGAATGAATTTTTTGATTGAATCGATACATTTGCATCAGGATGATATAAAACATCTCGTTTAAATACTAGAACAATATCTTCAACATTATGATGTAGATTTGGTGCTAAAATTGCTGTGATATGTTTTTCGAATGCATCGTCAATATTCTTTGAAAGATTTAGTACTGCATCGATCATTTGTATAGTAAAATCACGAATCTTATCGATTTCATTACGAGTTAATATACTTTTTAGAAATTTCTCTTCTGTACGAATTGTATCATTGAAGTTTTCTTCAGGTGATGAAGATGAAGATCGCTGAAGTCTTTTATTAAATTCTGCACAGCTAATAGCTTGAATATAATTATTAATATGATCTTCATTTGCTTGATTTTGATTTGAAATAATAATTTTCTGAATAAATTTATTTTGTTGAATAGTTTGAATTACTACACGTGAATCCATTAATTGTTTTATATATTCAGTCGACATAACATGACCATGAAGAAGTATTAATTCAAATAATTCTTTTGAACATTGATAAATCGGTGATAAACTTTGCATACATTTAATGATTGATCGTGAAATAGAAAGTGGAGTTTTAAATTTCAAAGATTCAGCATAACGATGAATTGTTGTGATTATTTCTTGTTGATTTTGAATAAAAACTATCTCTTTATTGAGTCCATTGTATGGAATAACACTACTATGATCATAATTTCCACGATGTCGATATCGAGTAAGATGTTTAATTTGATCTCGATCTGA